TATACGCAACGGTTGAACGACTGCGATCCACGACCTCCGACACTAAACTCTCCTCCTCTTGCATGTTTCCTCTGTCCATAGCGTTCCTTGACAGCGTCGTTTCTAAGTCACCAATTTAGTGCTACTTGGTCCCAATGGAATTTCCCATTGGGAACCTACTAGCACTAAGATGCTAACTGGTTAGCAAGATGCTTCCAACAAACCGCCCACAACCAAACATGCTTGCAAACTTTCCGCCACAATAATCCGGCCCCCTTCGATAATCAACCAATCACACTCATTTTATTCACTCGTGTAAAGTCGAGCACCACTCTGTAGAATTCGGAAATTTAAAGGTTGGAACGATAAACGCAATGTGTGACTCCAAACCAACTCTTTCCCCGTGCGATTAATAGATTTTATTTAGTATCTCCCTCCAAAGCAGATGTGTTTTACTCTGAAACCGCGTCTCTCTTCCTGTCAGACTCATGAAATTGCTGCCGAATTGCTGCGTAGTCCGACTGAAATAGACCTGGGCTCTATCTCAGTCGGAGCTATGCTGCCCAATGCATGAAACCTTCCCCACTTACTTCCAATGAGCGCACTAACACGATTTTCTGTCGTATCAGATGCAAAATCGGATTCGTTGTGTTATGGCCTTCATCTGTAAGAATGCCATGAAGGACAGAGAGGGAAACCCTGTAGAACGCCCTGGTGGCGTAGAGGATCATCGATAGTCAGGTCTTTCTGTGGCTCCCTCTGCTGGCCAGCACAACAATCTTCACCTTAAACTCCATAAAAGGAAGCTGGAATCTGTGCTCATTTAAGAGTTTTTTTTCTTCACGAATTGGTCATTTCTTTTTACTTATTTAGTGAATATTTGTTTTATGAAATTATTCCATCCTGTTCAATAAATGATCAGTATTTTTAATTCAGACTAATTTTCATTTGAATGTGCTTTACTGGAGGCATCCATGTTTGTCAAAGAACACTACTGCCACCTACTGGTTTGTTGACGTCACGGTGCGGTATCGGCTGTTGATCAAGTCCCAGTGCTGTATCTGGTGTTTGGAGGATGTTGCTGATTGCAGATGTGTCTAGTAGTTCCCATTGATTTTGCTTGTAAATCGGGGAGAACGGCGCTAGGCTTAGCGCACCGTGACGTCACTGCTGGAAGATGGCAGGAGGGAGGGGCTACTATATTTGGGCAAAAATGGCTGCTCCCATACTCCGCGATGAAAATTATATATATATATTTTTTTTACTGATTAACGCTTAATTCATTAAATCACGCGATCTTATTAGTTTTGGGTATAAGTAATGATCCATTGATTATTCCTTGTTGACCCGACTTTTCCTTTAAAAACAGAAAATTACACCATCATTATTTTTCAATGTTTTGTTGACTTTTTGCCACATTTTCCATATAGATCCCCCCCGGCGAGAACCCAGCAGGGTTCCTCTAACCTGCAGGTTTTCAGAGAAGAACCCAGACAAACATCCTGATTTCAAACTGAATGGCAGCAGTTTTATTAAATTAAGAAATCGACACATTTAAGAAATAAATCTATTTACACTAGTTCTACTGCACAGATTAAAAACAATGGAGCGAGCAGAGCTTCACCGTCACGTACCCATAAATATTGATCCCAGTTTATTACAATCATCGCAGAAGAACCGAGGAGCAGCTGCTGAAGCTCGCTGATCCGTACGGGAAACGGTTCAGTCGGATCCAGTAGGACCGTCCGCTTCCAAACTGTTCAGTAATACTAACGGCAGCGATTTTGTTCAGAACAACAACTAAAAGTGGTTCCCAGTTTAAGTCCAGAGAGTAAAAAAAAACATGAGCACAGTTAGTGTTAACCAGATCCGGTTCAGTCCGGTTTCCTCAGTGTTCCTCCTTGTCCCGGCCTTTCTTCTCCTTCTCGTCCTGAAGGGCGGTGCCCAGCTTCTTGATCAGCACCGACAGCACTTTGTCCAGGGGGTCCATCACGCCCCGCTGCAGCCACTTGGGAATTGTAGTCCTGGCGTGGTGGAAGCCCAGTTTCTGCAGGATGTAGTCCACACCAACCGGGTCAATCTTCCTCCCGGTCCAGGAAATCAGCCTGAGAGCAGAAAGCAACGGTTTAACAAACGGCTGCTACATCAACAAACCTTTTTCAAGCTGTAAGGCCACCTGGTTTCCTCAAACATAAAAGGCTGTAGTAAGAACATTAATAACCTCCATTCTTGTGATGAATGAAGCATTTTTTATCTTCTCTAGGCTAATGCTAGCCATTAGCCAAATTTGACTCAGGAAGCTAAAAGGGTTCCGCCCCAAAACTAGACGGCTAACGTTAGCCCTGGCCGCTGCAGACGGGCTAACGATAGCCAAGGGACAATTTTGTGCGACAACGGAGGGAGATGAGGGCGAAAAAGAGCAGAGATCCAGGTGGAAAAAGGGTCCCAGCGTTCTACATCTTCATGTTATAGTAACATAGTGCAAACTACGCTTCAAAATTGGGCATAAATCAGAAATATCTGCGTCATACCTGCGACAAGCTCACTGCGATACACTGCTGCAGGAGGATACTCAGCGTTTAGTTATTCAGGAGGGAGAAGAGGCTGGAAAATGTTCAACTTTGTTGGTATTTGATTTAACAAACAAACATATTGGGGTAGAAATAATGTTTCCCTGTGACGGACAGGCGGCGCGTCGAGGCCCGGCATTGATACGTTTAGTCCATGTGGTCCAGCTTGGACCAGCTCATCATCATTTCTCCTTTAATTACTTTCTTAGGATTGAAGACCATATAACATGATAACAACAGCATAATAATTGGGCTAGACTGCAGTAATATTAAAGCAGCTGATCTGTTTTAGTCCAAATGCATGAAGCTGACCTGAGGGTGGGCTCCAGGTGCCAGGTGTTGCACATGAACTCCCTCCAGTCCACAGTGGTGTAGTTGATGGCTTCGTCTCGGTCCTTGTCTGCGGAGGCCGCGCTGTCGTCATGCGGAGCCGTTGGGCTCTTCTGGCCTTGCCGGGCTGCGAACATCCGCGGAGCGAAGAGGGCTGAGGAGGAGGAGGAGAAGAGAGACATTTTTATCAGAAATGAAAACCAGACGATTCACTGATCGGCCGGCGGGTCTGCTGGCATCCGGGGAGCCGTCTGGTCTGCATCCATTAATCCAGCAGGAGAGAGAGGAAGCTTTTACCGACACACAGAACAAACAGAGCAGGGACTTGGCCCGGTTTTAATCGCGGTGAAGAATGCGACCGCTGCAGCATAAAGGGGAGCTCGTTTGTTCTTTTGTGACGCTCTGAAAGCCACTGAAATGAAACCGGAGCTCCCCGCTGTGAGGAGCTGCTCTCCATGACAACAAACAGCTTCCAGCTGCAGCGCTCCGGTCCGCTCGCTCCCACCCGCCCTGAATCCAAAGACATAAAGCAAACCTTTCTCCTTCTCCTTCAGGTAGGCAGACACCAGGTCATGGAGGAACATGATGAGCTCGGCGTCCATGGTGACGCAGATGTGGTCTGTGAACTCCGTCACCATGCTGCACTCCACTTTGGGTTTGCTGCTGGAGTCTGAAACAGAGACGAACATCAGGAGCCAAGTTCCTCTGGGGCCCAGTCAGAGCAGAGCCCATCAAACGCTCCTACCCGTCAGAGACGGCTCGTCTGAATCCTGCACGTGAATGGACTTGAAGTCCAGTTGCATTCTGGGAAGGGCGAAGATGGTCTCGGTTTCGTGGTCGTAGGTGTGGGAGCCCCGGAAGTTGCTCAGCAGGCTAGAGCTCTTGGCAGCGGCGCCGCTCTCCTCGGTGTTGGCGTCGACGTTCCTCAGCAGGTTGAGCTCTGAAAGCAGCAGAAAGCAGAATGAACAGCTTCAGATCAACCAGAAGGTTCCTGATGCTGCAGCGTACGGAGAGAAATCTGCTTCCATTTTTATTGTAGTTTTCCTTTTACAAGTTTTTTTTTTCAAGTTATTTTGATTTTTTTTTTCATTTTTTAATGTTTTAATTTAAACTTTTTTCCAAATTTATTTATTCAGTATTTTTTACAGATATATTTCCAAATTGTATATTTTCATTACTTTTTACATGTTACATTTTTTTGCTTTTATTTTGTAAAATTCTAATTATAAGATACATTTTTTAAATATTTTACCAATTATGTTTCACATTTTGATTGAAACAGAAACCCTGAAAGCAGAAACCAGCAGAGGAAGGAGCGCGTCTCTCTGCACCGGCCTGCTGCTACCTTTGTTTCTCATGGCCGTGACGTAGTTGAACCATTCCTTCACCGTGGCGACTCCATGCGGGGGGTTCTCGTGTCGCCCGCGGGTGATTTTGGTTATGGTGGCCATTGGACTCTCCAGGGCGCCACAGGGCTTGGTTACCATGGTGTTGTGACCAAGGTGGAAGTCTAGCGTCTGCACGATGTAGGTGGAGTCGTCTTTAGATCCTGAAACGACACATGAAGCAGATGGGATTAAGAAAAACTGTGTGACCAACATGGTGTCCGTTTGCTTAGACGGGGTGTTCAGGTCTCACCGTCCTCCCAGATCTTCTGCGCCTCCGTCCAGAAGGCGATGTTGGGCTCCTCCAAGTGGAACAGCGCCCACAGCTTGGAGCGGAAGTTGGGCCCGTGGAAGCAGGCCAGCGTCATGTGGTTGCCGTGGAGGCTCATGGAGCCGCCCAGCTGCACGGCGTCCTCGGGGAGAGGCATCTGGAACAGGGAGATGTGGCAGCCGGCGATGACCTTCAGCACGCCGGGCCAGTGGCGGTGGTGGGCGGCGTCCACGTCTGCGGAACAGATTGGAAACATAAGAGGAGGCAGGGTGGAGGCGGGGCGGCGGTCTGAGCAGGATCTGGTTCTGTCTGGTTTGATCCTGCTGCTCCTCTTCCTCCTGATCACCTGCTGAGCTCGTCTGATTAGATTCAGCCGCTACGCAGACCCAGATAATTAGCATCAGTCATCATCTCTGCAGTCATTTCTTACACAGCTCTGCGGAGCCTTTCTCCGCGTTGATGACAGGGGTTTTGGGGGGCAGGTAGGGGCCCGGGCCCCACGTGGAGAGGGCCCGCTTGCTGGTGTCGAACTGCTGGGTGAAAAACTCCTGCAGCTTCATGCCGATCTTGATGAGGTCTGGCGTGGTGGAGCGGGAGATGATCACCTGGAAGATGTCCCACTGCAGGTCGCCGTGGACAAAGACCACGCTGCGAGGAGGGGAGGGGAGTCAGAGTTACCGCGGCGTCCACAGAAAGCAGCAAACTCTCCGACTCTCTGCTGACGTACCTCTTCTCTGAGAGGCTGGTGTCCACCGAACACAGGTTGACCTTCCATTCGTCCTGGAGCTGCAGGTCGGCGTTGCTGAAGACGCCCATCAGGATGCTGGAGCCCATGTAGTCCACCCGGGCCTCCGTAGAGCCCATGGTGATCTGGATCTTGTGGCTGGGCTGCTGGTTGGGATGCTCAGAGATATGAGCTGCAGAACAAACACACAGAGAGAAGTTAACATCTTTTTGAGTCCAGGGTGTTTCAGGTGAGGACACGTTTAGGACATTGTCCCCTGGGGACCTGTAATGAAGAGGTCTTCATTTCTATATTCTCTCCAGGGTGTTTGACCAATGTTTCCCTGGGGGTCCAGACACCTTTATACAGTAGCAGCCATTTAAAATGGCCCTTCCAGTCAAAGCCAGCCGAATGGGAGCAGAATCCCCTCCACCTTCCAGCCACTGGCCTTCTCCTGGGCGTGCATTTGTTTTTACTTCGACTCCACCCTTTCACTGAATTACAGGGTCTGACCAGGAGATGGCGCTTCTCTTCTCTCAATGTCCACAAATCATGACAGAAAATATTTTAGTATAAAGATTGATTTTTAAAAAGGAATTGAAGGGGAGCAGCCAAGGAAAGTGGGGAAATTTTGAATGGCTAAAACTTTAGGTCCTGGGACAGACCATTGAAAGTGTGGGGAGATTTGCGCTCATAGTTTTGGGGATTTCTATGGTACTCGGTTGTATTATTTAAAATCAGTAAAAATTAAAGGTTAAATGTGTGTATACTGGATTCAAATGTGCTTTTAAAAGGAAGTGAGGAATTGGTCAGTGTTGTGTAAATAGTAAAGTCCTTAATCAGCTGTCCTTATTAAAGAAAAAAAATTGAACTGTATTGATCTCACATTGGAGAAATTCACTCTCTGTAATTAACCCCTCCCCTCGGGGAGCAGTGGGCTGCCATTGTGCAGCATCCGGGGAGCAGTGTGGGGTTAAGAGTATTACTCAGGGACCCATAGTGCAGGCTGCGGGGATCAAACCGGTTACTTGCAACCTTCTAAGAGCACAAGCGCACTGCTCTAACCACAATGCCAACACTCGCCTTTTAAGGCTGAGATTGTGTCTTTGATGGGAGGGTTGATTCTGTGAAGCTGAATGGTGTCGAACCTGAATAAAACGGATATTTTCACTTTACTTTGCCTAGTAGAGTCATTTTCTCACCAAAAGGTCGCCTGGTAACAGTACCTGTGTGGGCAGGTCTGGGTCAGAACAACGGTGTCTGTAGTGTCAAACCGTCACTTTGATCTCTGCATCCTGGTCTTAATTTTATGATCTGATCATGTACCTATTCAACAGCTAAAATATCCACCTTCTTATTTTATATCAAACTTTCAGCTGACGGAGGGCCAGACTGACATCCTTTGGTTTGTATCTCCGTTTCTGTGGCTGCTCAAAGCGGACAGAAGTAGCTGCTTCTTGGAGAAAATCTTAAATATAATCAGGTCATTCTGTTGTGAACATCCTGACCACAGCACCGTTCCATTGATGCCAGAAAAATATTGTTTACCCTGATGATACATGAGAGCTGCATGCTAGCTCAGCGGTTCAGCAGATCTGAAGAGTTAATAAGCTGCAGAAGAAGCCAGAAGACGAGGAAGATCACTTACAGACCATCTCCAGGGTGTTCACGTCGATGTTGCCGCCCACCACTCCTCCCTTTGAGTCCAGTTTGGAGCGGCCGAGGCCCACAGACATGCTGATCTCTCGGTCCCGGTTGCTGCCGACAGACAGGCGGCCCTGACTTTTCAGGCCACTGGTGGTCCAGCTGAAAGAGAGACAGAACCGGTGTCAGAGATCCTCCATTGATGAACCATCTGCAGAACTTTTAACTTCTTTTATTTTTCTACCAAGTTAATGAAACCCTTTTTCAAACCAGTGCAGCCTTGGACACCTGCATGGCATCCTCCGTCGGAAGGAGCATCCTGAGGCCATCAATTATTCAAGCTAAGCAGAGCAGCAGGCCTTGATTCTACAGCTCTGAGCTAAAAAGAGGAGACAAGGTGCGTCCGGACCCACTTTGCAGGGAAACAAAGCGCAGCAGACAGTCCAGCATTTGTTGTTCTGATTATTCTGCTGCTTGGACACAACAAATGTTCTAAAACTGCAGAAAGCTGAAACGCTGGACTGGAAAAAAAGGATCCAAACGGATCAAGTCAGTAGAACCGAGCAAAACTTTCACTGATCAGGAAACTACAGTCAAAGTTCTACTAGCTTCTAAAGATGGTCAGCAAGTTGTTGAATGGTTTGCTTCTCTGGACCAAACATGGAAAAACAACGTCAGGTTAGAAAGACGGCAATGAACCAAGAAGCTCCTCAACCTGAGCGGTTGGCCTTGGCTGTATCAGTATAGTACTACTATATACTAGGGCTGGGTATTTTCGCAAAAGTCCTGAATCAATTCGATGTTGTTTCATACAGTTCTAAATCGATTAATTTCTATTCCATCTGTTTTTACAATGATGAAAATGGTTCAACTGTGTTTCAAAATACTCATGTGTTTTGTTTTTTCCAAAGTGCAAACTTGTAAATCAGACAGTTTAAAGCTGTTTAAAGTCTGTAAGTTTTTTAAAATCACTTTTTTGTCATATTGGCTAAAACTGTCCCTATGCCCAGACAGCAGTACATGCGATATG